ATATGATCCGTACTAAAATAATTTAGATTAGACAATCCTGTCTACTTTTCATATGTGTCATTCAGTTGGACAGTTTAAAATAAATACGTATCTACTGATCTGACATATATCGACAGTCTTCGACGTAGCAGCGTTATATGGAGGACAGATTTAACCCACTTACGTTGGAAGAGACATGCGTCAAATAAAATTTCTATCATTCAGAAGATGAATCTTTAAGATTTTTGAATATCATATCTGACAAGGACAAACGAGTAAAACTATTTATATCATTTAAATTCTGTGATCAAACTGAAATGAATGATATTCATGTACACGCTAGTATTATTATCTTTTAACGCGTTCAAAAAAGATTCTATCTCAAAAGGAATTATATCGTTTTCCACGAATAAAATATGGCGAAATTTATGTGTATTATATTCTTCCCTCAATTGTTATAGAATCTAATACTGCCATCAATTGCAGATAGTAGATTATATAATCTTCCCATCGATGCTTTTTATTTCAATTCCATCTGTTTTATTCACTCAACGTTACAACCTGCACCAGACTCAGATTTACAGCTTTCAATATCTCTTGTTTTATACCTTACTATGTGTATTTTCAAACCAGTAGAGAAGCATGCGTAAAACTATTTTTATAATTGAATTCCACTTTCTAGCTCTTAAATGTATTTGAGTCTATTGGGTACATTTCTATACGTACATACATATGTAAATACAACTAATATAAATTCTAATGCAGGAATGGCAGTTTAATATTTTCTTCTTTAATTCAAGCCACGTTTCGTTCAATGCTTTATAATTATTTTCTCCCTATAATTGAAATACGTTCATATTTCTGACATTCTCTGTTATTAAATTCTTTATTTTTACGTAAAATGAAAAAGCGAAGAATGTTAAAATTTACTGTAATTGAATATCACTCTCTCATTCGTTTTTACCCAGCAAATATATCATGCATATTTGTGAATATTTAATGAATGTTTTATTTCATTATGAATTTCAATATTCGATGTGTTGGCAAAGTATTACCTCGCTTTTTCCAGAACCCATGTAACATTCACTATGTACCATGATGAATCATTTCATAAATCAATAAAACTATTACCAAAATTACATTTATGGAAATCCTGAAATTCGCATTTATTAAATTTAAATATATAGGAGGGGGAAGAATTTAAGATTAATCGAGCTAACACTTTGAAAACAATAAATCGAAAGTAAAAGATAATCTAAACTTAAATTTAAAAAATCAGAAGAAATTCCGCACAGTAATATGACCCGTCATCACAACATTATCCCCGTTTATCCCTTTACGTGTATCCGAAACTCGTAAATTCCCCATTATGCTTTGTCCTCGCATTATATGCATAAAATTTGATGCGCCGCTACGCGCAAACAAATGACTGGATTTCTCCTCGAATTAGCATAACATAATTTCGCATTGCGTATGCCTAGGAGAACGATGTTTTCGTTTATTTCACGTATATTTCAAGCTTCCGCTACTACGTACAATTACAATCATTCAGCATAAAATGACTTCTGCTTGCCAAAATGAAACTATAATCTTACAGAAGCGAATTCCACATATTATGCTCGTAAATGTTGTACACTGCATTTCGCTTTGAGATGTTTCACGAAATGCACATAATATTACTTGTCATATTAGACACACAGTAAAGAGCAAAACTGAAGTAACATCTTTTAAAACTGAATAATTTTTTTTAAATCTGACTAAATGATCTGATTTTTTTTTAGTACTTAGGTGGATTAGAATATTAAACTACTAAATGATGTACAAAAAAAATTACGAAAACGTTAAAATTGCAGAATTTGCTGTACTTAAGTATCTGAGTATTAAACTACTACATAATATACAAAGGAAATTACGAAACGATTAAAATTGTAGTACATGCTCTAACTATCTAAAAATGCTCAGATCGTTTCGTTCGATTTTAAAAAAGTTATTCAGTTCTAAGAGGTGTTAGTTCAGTTTTGCACTTTACTATACCCATACATATTTATATTCTTCCATCACTAGTTATAAGTCCTCTACAACACCGAAACATCGATCTTGGCAATTTTTGCATAATATGAAACTTTTTAAAGCATGTAAGATCCCAAGTACCAGAATGCAGAAGAAAC